ACAGAACTAAATGTAAGCATCCAAAATTGCATGCCTCAAATTGCCATAGCATTCATTACAAATCTACTTACAATAGGACATTTTTCCCCTTCAGATATGCTGCTTTTCCTGTGGTGGAAATAGCAGAAGGCAACACCTATCAAGACTAAGTAAACTTAGGAAGTTCCTTCCAAACCTAGATGAAGCCTCAAGGCTTCAATGTAAAAATAATGAATCAGAATACAAAAAACCCAGCCAAAGCAACCTTACACAGTTGTATTGGGAAGTGTAGGGACCTCATGTAACGCAGTGTGTAACTCATGCCATGTTCTGTGGATCCATAAGTGTCCTCAACAGCAGAGCACTTTACCTCTGAGCTTTGCTTCTCTATTACGAATCATGAATAATGATGAAGGGGAAAAAGATAAAATGTCCATTTCAATGTTGAAGGACTTTCCCAGAAACCTACTCTGTAACATATACTTACATCTCCTACTATAATTAGCTTAAGTAGACGGGAGAATGCAAATTTTTAGCTGATCCATTTTCACCTTAAATACAACTGGGGTTCTGTTGACAAGAGAGTAGGAGGAATGGATATGGCTTAAGCAATTAACAGTGTCTTCTTCAAAGATAATCTTCACAGAAATGCCATGATACACTTCACTGTACTGTAGCTAGCACAGTAATTAGGAAACTGTAACTTGAACATTAGAATCTAAGCTTTGAAATGTAATTTAGCAACATGTAAAGAAATATCAGCTTTTTCAGCATCTAAAACCATGTTTTTCTCCCTTGATTTACTCTATCCCAGGTAAAAAAATAAAATATATTAAAAAACATGTTTATATTTTCCAACTTCTATACAAAAATAGCTGATGATTTTCTAATAGGAATGTATATTTCCGTTTGAATATTGCCATTATATAAAATGGATTAGATGATGAGACATAGCATGGAATTATAACAGTTTTCTCTTGCGAATCCTTCAAACTAAAGAACTTAAATAGGAGCTGATAGCATCATGTAGGCATCCACAGCCATTCTATTATCAATTTCTGGACAGAGTGTTCTGGCAAAACATTTGGGTATTTTCCAGCTGCTTATGTTCCATCTGTGGTGTATGCCTTTCAACACTAATGTAGAAAAGTCCAGTTTGACACTGAGGATATTAAACTTCCACCGGAATTAAGTGAAAGAGAATAGGCTGCCATCATATTATCATTTTAGTATGTATTCAGTTATGGCATTAATTCTGAAACTGTCTGAACATATGATTAGGCAGACCAGGTGGCTGCCGGCATGATGACATTTGGTAACTGGAGGAAAGACTTCCCCCACATATGTGCCGTTGTGGTCATGTTGAAAGGGAGAACTCACAAAGCTTGCAGCTAACCACATACTGTCCCTACAGAATGGAGTTAGTTTCAGAGTAATATTCTGTGAGCTAAATGCATTCTGGGCATAGCAGGTTTAGCTGATACTTGAATGCCCATATGAAATCCTGGGCATTCAAGGTGAGGACTTTAGCTGCTAGGCCACGCTGCTGGGCCCTGATTACTTACTTTTTTAATCATTTGCATATCTTCTACAGAATTTTGCTTTATTATTATCACTAAATTTACATAGAACTTCTTAGAGCAATGCATTTTTTTTTCTAGTCTAGTGATCTTATTTTTTCTGCTGTTTTTAGTATATCCTATTTCTTTATTTTTGAGCATTCACGTATAATTTTTCCTAAGACAAGCTGATTCAGATTGGGTGTGGCTGCAGATGCTTTACATGCCTGTGCTTGGATATCTATATACTTCCTCTTACCCAGGATAAACATTTCTGTCAAAAACGTTTCTGCCCCTATGTCTCTTTTTCTTTCTCTTTCTTTTCCTTTTTTAACTCCTGCAATTAGAATACTTGTTTCTTTGAAGCTTCCCCATAAATCTTTTATGCTTTCTTGCATCAGTTTCCTTTGTTTTTCCTTGTTAAAATCTATCTATACATTTTCATTGAACATGCATTCAGATTGTCTCTTTGATGAATGCCATTGACAATATCAATTGAATTGTTTATTTCATTCTTCACATTTTTAGTTTTGGAACTTCCCTTTGATTCTTTCCATAATTTAAGTATATTAGTTAAACTGTCATATGGAACCTTTATATGTTCAGCTGATTTTTGTTGAATTGTTTTTCTGTATTTTATTTAAGTTCATTAAACTGCTTTAAAAGGTTTTTTTTTAAAATCAATTGTTAGGAAGTTTGTATACTTTTAGTTCTTTGAAGTAAATATAAAAAACTATAATTTGGGAGTTATACATCTTTGTGATTTTTCATGTTTTCTCTAATATTGATGTCTATGCATTTAATGAAAACAATCACCCCTTCCAGATTTGATAGGCTAGTATTGGTGTGCAAAATTCTCCACTGAGGTGGCACTTTGATACATGATGCTTCCTGGATGGCTTGCAACAGCTTTGGCATCAATGGGGGAGCAGTTTTTCAGTTCCTGTGTAGATCTCTCAGCTGAGATCAATTTCGATGAAAAATGTGAGGAGGTGCCCAGCATAATAGTTAAGTCCTTACAAGTGCCAGTATCCCATATTGACATTGGTTCATGTTCTTGCTGCCCTGCTTTTCATCCAATTCCCTGCTTATGGCCTCGGAAAGCAGTAGAAGATGGCCCAAGGTTAGACCCTGTACACACATGGGAGACACAGAGGAAGCTTCTGGCTCCTGGCTTTGGATCAGCTCAGCTCCGGATATTAGAGGCTTTTAAGGAGTGAACCAGTGGCCAGAAGATCTCTCTCCGTCTCTCTTTCTCTCTGTAAATCTGATCTGCTTTTCCAATAAAAACAAATAAATTTAAGAAAAAATGAATGTAGGAAATCTTAACAGCCAAGACCAAATTATTGAGTTTTGTTAAGGTTATTGTGGTTATGAATGCTAATAATCTTCTAAAGAAGTTGTGACAGATACAATACCTTTTGACACTGTTTGGTATTTGAGGTCTTCTCTGGTGGCTCATGAGTGTACCAGCCACAGAGCTGAGGTCAGAGCACAGGCCTGTATGGAGGATGATGGCTGTGGTTTACAGAATTGTAATGGTGCAGGGCCTGAGCCTCAGATATGCTTGTCACTGCATTACTAATGGTATGAAAAGCACAGTACTTGTGAAAAAGTTGGGGAGCTGAGAATAGGAGTGAGGCATACTGAGAATTACTAACTCAGGCTAATCCTCCACCTACACGTGTCAGCATCCTATAATGGTGCTGGTTCATGTGCTTATGACCTGGGAAAGCAGTGAAGGGTGACCCAAAGCCCTGGGATCCTGCATCCTTGTGACAAACCTGGGAGAAGCTCCTGGCTTCAGGCTTTAACTCAGTTCTGACCACTGTGGCCATAGGAAGAGTGAACTAGAGGATGAAAGTTCTTTCTGTCTGTTTCTAGTCCACGCTGTAAATACGTCTTTACAGTGCTTAGCTAATCCAAAGCCAGAAGCCAGGACTCAGGAATTTCTTCCTGGTCTCCCACACAGGTGTAGGGTTCCAATTATTTGGGCAATCCTCTGCTGCTTTCCCAGGCCATGAGCAGGGAGCAGGATGGGAAGTGGAGCACCTGGGATATAAACCGGCACCCATATAGGTTCTTGGCAGTTACAAGGTAAGGATTTAGCCACAGGGCCATCGTGCCAGGACCTAAAAGTAAATAAATCTTTTAAAAATATGTATATTGTAACTCTAGGATCAGTTTACACCCACACTTTCTTTGTAAGGCAAGTTTAGATCTAGATTGCATGCATACTCAGAGAACTCACGGCCCATGACTCCAGGGAAAAGTAGTCTGAATGGTGCTATCTTCACTGGCTGGTATGTGCAGTCATAGAATCCACATCTGGAGTTTGGACTTTCACTGGTGACCACAGTTTGATAGACTGCAGCAAACATGGAGCTGGGAGAGGTGGTGCTTCAGTTCCTGCAGCAGCACATTGGAAGCTGAATCTCAGGTGTGGTAGAACAGCATTCAGTTAAGTCTCAGAGAGGTCTTTCTTATCACAAGCCTTAAAGGAAAGCTTGACGGAAAATATTTGCTTATTTCAGTTATCTGTATGTACTTGACTCTTTCATTATGCAAATTAGTTGAAGAATAAATCCCTTTGCCAGTGAGAAAGCATTTTCCATTTATGTCATTAAACACTAAATAAATTTTGCTATGTGTTTTCAACACATTTCTTTTCATTCCATTTATAATAAACTTGTTTAAAATGTATTTGGAAAAACATTCCTGGTTAGGATCTGGCTCATGTATAATTGTTTGGCAAGTGTTCTCACGTTTATCTGAGTAATGAATTACCAATTAACTATCTATTATTCAGGGCCTGGCGTGGTAGACTAGTGTCTGAAGTCCTTGCTTTGCACATGTCAGGATATGAGCGCTGGTTCATGCTGTTGCGGCCACTAGGGAAGTAAATCAGCAGAAGGAAAATTTTCCTCTCTGTCTCTCCTCATCTTGGTATATCTGACTTTCCAATAAAAGCAAATAAAGCTTTTTTAAAAAGTATCTGTTATTCAAAATGCTTGAGAGTTAAATTCCTTTGGATATCAGAGTTTTCAGGTAATGGAGTATTTGCATGTACACAATGCAATATTTTAACATGACCCAAATTCATACAATAAATTCACTAATGTTTCTTATACCAATAGTTAGGAGTTTTATATAATATTTTTAATGTGCCTACATTTTGTAACTCATCACGTAAGATCAAGAGTAGAGTATTACACTTATATCAGTGCTTGGAGATTTTAGATTTCATATGGATTTCTTCTTTTCGTGTTACGGAATACTCATCTTGTATTTTAAGAGTGCAGAAACGGAATTTGGAGCTTTGTGAGTCATATAAGATAATCTATCAACCTTATTCTTGAAAATGTATTTTTTGAAAGCTTTTTCTTTTTTCTCTGAAAATGTAGTTTCTTTATTAAGCATTTTGCTGAAATAACCTAGACACTTGTTTATTTGTTTTTGTAGGCACAATCCAGTTATGATGCGACCCACTATGAAAATATTTTCTCCTTATTCTGGGTTCTGGAACAGCTTCTTCAAAAAAAAATTGAAGAAGCAAATACCTCAAGTACAGGGCACAATGAAGAAGAAATCAAGAAATTTCTAAATAAGCAAGATGAAATTATATTCCAGCTTTCTGATACATTTCCTCTATTTACTTGTTATTTATGGAGAATAGGCATTCTTTTAAATTCAGCAGAGGCAGAAGTTATTGAAAATAACTAGCTTTCTTAACATTTCACAAACATCAGAAGCTTATCTACATTCAATTCTAATGCTTATAAGATTGTCAAGAATATTTTAAATGTTTTTTTTTATTTATTGTTGCTTACATTGTATTATGTAGTACAGTTTTATAGGCTCTGGGGATTCCCCCCACCCCTCCCATACCCCTTCCCCCATGGTGGATTCCTCCACCTTGTTGCATAACCATAGTTCAAGTTCAGTTGAGATTCATTGCTTGCAAACACATGCCTAGCATAAAGTTCAGCGTCTTATTGTCCAGATAAGTTCAGTGGCCTCTTGGGGAGACCTTCTATGGTCTGAAGATAGGTCTAACAGAGTAAAGATCCGGTCAGTTAAAAGCCCCAACAAGGCCTCAGTATCAATATACAACATTATGGAATTAATTGACATAGTATTGGGTAAACAATATGTTAAAAATAATGCAAGTTCCATTCTTCGAAACATCTGGGTTGAGACAGTATCAATGACAGGTTCAAAAAATAACAAACAACCAAACAAAAAATTACAGGTTAAATCAAGGCAAACATGTGGTATCTAATCTTTTGGGATTCGCTCATTTCCCTTAGCATTATAGTTTCCAGTTGTGCCCATTTAGCCACAAAGAACTGCATTTTGTTTTTTTTTAATAGCTGAGTAGTATTCCATGGAGTAGATGAACCAAGTTATTTTAAAATGATTCTCTAAAGATAATCATTAACACAAGTCAATTACTAGTCTGCAATTATATGTAAGATTGTGAGTCATATTTCTCCATTGAAATCAGTCAGCTTCAGTTGAGAATGCTCTCCTCATTTCCATGTAATTTATTCCATAGTATGTTATATACTTTGACTCTGTGACTCTCTAAACTGGACCATTAATATGTCTGAAGCCTGATCTCTATTTAATGAAACACAGTTAAAGTGTAAAAGGTTTCCATGTAGAGCATGTGCAGTGGAAATGAATGCGGTGTTAACATTCTGTTGCTTTATCAACACAAACTGTACAAAATATATGCCTCTCAATGCAATTTTTAAAACTTTTTTTCTTACATCATTGTGCCTGTATTATAATTGGTCATCTTAGAGGGGATTCATATAGAAAGAGTCAAAATTTTTTTAACGTTTCTAAACATATTTTTTGATTGTCGTACAGCCAACATAGTTGTATTATTTGAAAGTGCTGTTTAGTTGTTTGAAATGCAATCTTTCAGCAAATATTGCTGTGATCTGTTGAATAAATATGTTATAATACCTCTAAGAGTATTGAAATAGACTTGGTATGCATAACAACATATTAAAGATAGTTTATAACTTCTAGCATTATCAAGAAATACACTTCATTGTAATATTAAAATTTGGTGGTAAATTTCCCATTTATAAAACTTCTAGGATTTCATTCAAATTAACGTAATAACGAAAGACTTATTGAACAAACATTATATAGTTTTCTATAAAATGTCATCTATGATATAAATACAATTAGGTCATCTACCATGGCTCTTTTTGAAGTTATTTACAGCTTTCTTGAAAGTGTAATACACTTTTTAATACTAAGACTCAGCATATGTCAGTCGGGTATTGTTGGGTAACAAATGCAGGATGTCAGTGGCTTACAAGAGCAAATAATTATTTCTCAGAAGTGTTCATGTCTAAGGACTGGCTGATCTGGACTAGAATTTGCTGGAAAGAACTCTGCTTCACTTTCAGATTCTACTGGGTAGGGTTCTCGCTACAGGTCAGGTTTTGGTCTTTTCCTTATGTAAAGGTCATTCAGGAGAAGCTTTTTTGATACTAATGACTGCTGAGCAACATGAAAAGAGATTGGCCTAAAATACCATATTACTACTTTTCATCTATATGCATTGGTCATTTTACATCAAATGAGTCAGCTTAAATAAAAGGAACAGTGAAACATGTTCTACTTTTAGTGGTAATATTTGCCAAATTAATATAAAATGGTATGGATGCAGAAAGCTATGGAGACTTGCAGCCAATAAATTCTTCCACCACAAGTACTTATTGAATGTAAATATATTCCCAACCCTGGATTATAAGAAACATATCTAGCATTTATTATCTTTCAACATCTCTGAATATTCCTAAAAGTTACTTAGGTGGATGATATTTCACTTAAATACACTTCCCGTGGTATCTTCATCTTCTCCTCTGTCTTAACAGTTTTAAAAGATTGGTAAACATGTGAGCATCATCCATGGCTCCTTTTGTATTGTAGCTCACCATAGCCTTGATCAGTTAAAAGCTAGTTTAACCAGAGTGATTCTTTTAGTTACAATAATGTTCAAAGTATCCAGCACTAAAACTGGCCTATGAAATAAATGTATTGGACCTGGCATGGTGACCTAAAGGCTAAATAATCTCCTTGCACCCACAGTATCCCATATGGGTAATGGTTTGTGTCCCAACTGTTCCACTTCCCTTCCAGCTCGCTGCTTGTGGTCTGAGAAAGCAGTACAGGATGGCCTTAGGACATTGCACCCTTGTGGGAGGCCTGAAAAAAGGTTCTGGCTTCTGGCATCAGATCAGCTTCAGATCAACCCAGCTCCTGCCCTTGCGGACACATAGGGAGTAAGTGAGAGGATGAAAGAGCTTTCTCTCTGTCTCTCTCTGTAAATCTGTCCTTCCAATAAAAGTAAAGAAATCTTTAAAAATCGAAATTGAAGAAAGTTAATATAATGCAAGATACAAATGCTAGGATTGTTATTGCACAAATTTAGTCCTCTTTTTAGGTAAACATCTCCATCAAGTTCATAGTGCATAACTTCATGATACTCGGTGTTAGTACATATTAGAATTAATAGCAAAGTAAATTTAATATTGCCTTGAGGACTAAATCACCTGGTGAAAAGGTTTAAATGAGGTGTTTGTGTCTGTATTTCAGCAAAGCCATAAAAGAAATAATGAATTGTTAAAACTAATATATCCATATTTAAGAATATGGAATTTAATTCAGGTAGTAGAAATTAGACATCACTTAAATGAAACCTAGGAGAAGATGAAAAATAAGGATTATCCTAAAAATAGAGGAAATAATAGAATTGCTTGTAGATACTATCACTTAAATAATGTATATCATATAAATATATGTGGTGATAATACTGTATATCAAATATTTATATAGCTGAAAGCATAAATATTACACATATATTATAAAATAATCATGTGCTGTTCTATGCATTTTACTTATGATAGTTAATTTGATTATCCTAATATCTCTTCAGACATATAAAATTATTAACTCCTTTTTAGACATGAAGAATTCAGGCAGAAAAAATGTGAAACAACTGGCGCACATTCACTCAACCAGGAAATGGCCATCAGGTTTCAGCCACTTGAGTTGAGTTTTCAAGAGCACATCCCTACTGTGCCACACTGCCTGTTAGGTGCAAACCATCTGGCACTTCATGACACGTGTGGTTGCCTTGTGATTGTCATCAAAGCTTGATAGTCTCTGAACCACAAGTCTTATGAAACAGCATTTTAAATTACTAGCTAATTGTTAGCATTGTGCTCATGATAGAACAGTTCTACTCTCTGCCGTGACATTCAGGGAACAAGAGGCTTTGAGTTTTTTGGGGTTACAGCATGTTGCCGGTCAAGATTCTATTCAATATATAGTCTTCAAAGAAAAACTACAAAGTCTATGAATAAATGTGGTTGTTTTGTAAACTATTTTCCTTGTCAGTGATATTGGTGAATATAACTAAGGGAAGTATATTTTTAGATATGTAGGAGAAAAAAACAGTAGCTTCCAAATGTCTGTGCCCATGTGTAGATTTTCTTTTTTTAAAAAAACATTTATTTTATTGGAAAGTCAGATATACAGAGAGGAGGAGAGACAGAGAGGAAGATTTTCTGTCCAATGATTCATTTTCCAAGTGACCAGGAGCCAGGAACTTCTTTCCGGGTCTACCACACAGGTACAGAGTCCCAAGGCTTTGGACCATCCTCAACTGCTTTCCTAGGCCACAAGCAGGGAGCTGGATGGGAAGTGGAGCTGCCGGGATTAAAACCGGCATCCGTATGTGATCCCGGCAAGTTCAAGGTGAGGACCTTAACCATTACGCTTTTGCACTGGGTCCTATTTGTAGATTTTCTGCAAACAGGGGCCCAGTGCAACGGCACAATGACTAAATCCTCACCTTGCACCGGAATCCCACATGCGCATTGCTTTATGTATCAGCTGCTTCACTGTCCATCCAGCTCTCTCTTTATAGTCCAGGAAATCAGTAGAGGATGGCCCAAAACCTTGAAACTCTGAGTTCACTTGAGAGACCTGAAAGAAGCTTTTGGCTCCTGACTTTGGTTCAGCTAGTTTTAGCCGTTGTGACCATTTGGGAAGTGAGGCAGTAGACAGAAGATTCATTATCTCTGTGTCTCCTTCTTTCTGTAAATCTAATTTGCATTCCCAATAAAAATAGATAAATCTTATCAAAAAGTCACATTGTGGACGGCTTTGGTTCTTAATAATTTGATTTTACATAAGCAACTATTTTGTATCAGCTTTATGTGTAAGCCAATTATTTGCACAAATAAGGAAAACAAACTAGACTTCATAATTTGTCACATTTACAGAACAAAATTTTCTTTTAAACAATAAAATGACTCATGTGCATCACTTTGCTACAGTAGTGAAATATGATGATAACGATAAAGTTTATCTAATATTTGAAAGGTGTGCACGAATACTATCATTATTAAAAGTTAATTGCTTTCTAATTGTTTATAGACTTATAGGCTCAAAATTTATCTGATCAATGTTTGCATTACTCTCAAAACTTCCAACTATTAGAATACCTTTTACCCACAGGAAATAACTGCAATGGCCAGAGCTGAGCCAATCCAATGTCAGGAACCAGAATTTTCTTCCAGATCTCCCACCTGGGTGTAGGAAGCCAAGCACTTGAGCCATCCTCCTCTGTTTTTCCAGTCATCTGCTGGGAGCTAGAAGAGAAATGGAGCAGCTAGGGAGAGAATCGT